TTTTGGGTTTGCTCCTATGCCCAGGGTAATGAAATTAAGTTAGGGAGGGGAAAGAGGGGCTTAGGGCCTCCAAATAAAATTTATGGGGGTCTATTTTTCCTAACTGAAAGTATTTCACCCACATGTAGAGTATCAAAACTCAGATCAAGAAAATTTCCATTATGAGCTAGAGAAAATGAATTTGGGTTAGACCACTTCCTGTATCATAAGGCCAGTGTTTGGGGCAAAGCCCAGTTTTTTGGAGCCTTTGGCCACCTTTTTGAATAACATAATCAGTACTCAAGAAAGGGAGGTTTTATGTTATATTAAGGAAGGATGCACCTTTGGTGGCTTGAGAAACCCAGTTACAAATCAGGGTCCCCAGTTCTGGTTTAGGAGGCACCCTGTATATTCAGGCACCCTCCTCCCCATTCACTCTCCAGATGGTTGTGGTTTCACATCAGGATGCAATATTTTGGGACAGGCTGGCCCCCTGGTTAGGTATAAGGGTCTTCATCATGAAATGTGTGTATCTTGTTCCGGATTAGTATTTAGGAGGCTTCTTTACATTGATAGGTCATTTTCTGGAACAGGTAGCCCCGTTTTAGATTAGTGAGACCCTATATTAGGTAACTAGAAGGTTGCCATTCTAGATTTTTTAATGGTTCATGCTTTTTTAAATTCTAGATATTGGATACTAGGTTTTTTAACTGACTGTGACAGAGACATTTACAAGATTTTTAGGGCAGCTTTGATTTTGCTCTAAGCAGGGCAGCAAATGGCCCAACCTAGGGCAGCCTTGCCCTTACTCCTCACTGCCAGTAATTACAGAGTTTTTCTCATGCCGACTACAATGTATCATTGTTTGTTAGCTTCATGGAACATCTGTTTAATGCTGAGATATTGCCAAACTAGTCATGCAAAATTGACACTAGCACATACTTGTAGTTTGGTCTCAAGAGGTGGCCATTGTAGTGCTGGAGGTGCTTGCTGGATTATGTGCATCTATTTTGGACATGTGCTGTTTTTGTATATTTACCTGAAAGTAAGGTTTTTGCTTGTATTCACAGACCTGATTTTGGTGCTATTCTTAAGTGGGTTGACTATAAATCCTGTTTCCATAATGAATAACAATCATGTCCAATTTTTTATCTTATGTAGCCCAAACCATTTGACATTCATTATAAAATCCTGCTCACTAAGGTCAGATATAAAAGGCTCAACAAGTATGTTCTTCTTGACTGTGAATGTTGCATGGTTAATGGGGTGGTGGGATTTTGATGGTGTTTCTGTGGTGTCCTGCATGCCAGAATGACTTAAAAATAGTCTGCATGAAATGTTCTGTACATTTTCACTAGCATCTAGCTCAGAAAGTAGATGATTTGAGATCTTATGAAGGGCAAGGCTGTGAACTGAACGGAATGATGTTCAAAATGGCTATTTCATTTCCAAATCCCATGCAGCTGTGGAACATTCCCTTGACTTTGAGACAACTTGTTTTTTAAGGAGTCCTCACCATTAAGATACATTTGTAGACCTCAAGTGTATTGTTAGAACTGAAATGGGCAACTCCTGGTGGATTTGGATGCCCCTCTGCTCTTACAGTGTTTTTATTTCATCCTCAGAACATGTTTCACATATCAGGGATGCACAATGGGTCATTGGAGGCACCCGTCCAGGCCTTGGGGCAACCAGACTTGTTAGGCATTATTAAAGCTCTTCAAGCATATTTTCAAAACATAGAGTCATCTTTTGTGTCCACAGAATTATCCCTCAATGATTCAAGGCTCCTTTTAATTCATAGGGGCATTTCTCTGAAGGTCAGGGGGTATTCACACTTGCAACACTTTCTTTCATGCCGTCAGTGTGAATTTGGATGTCAGGATGTGATGCAGTATTCCTCCCGCAGGTACTCAAGATGCCTGTAGATATCCTTGCTTATGGCTATGCAGCTACTGTTGCAGCTGGTGGCATCATTGGCTATGCAAAAGCAGGTAAGTGGTTGCATTTATCTTGACCTGGACTTGGAAAGGCTGGTGACAAATCAAACTTGTTTTTTTAGGGGGGGGGGGGAGTCTGAAATATGACAATCATTACAGCAATGCAAGTTTTGAAAGGTACAAATTTTTTTGGCATCCCCGATGGTGGCCATGACCCCATTGACCCCATCACACCTGCTATTGTTTGATACATCTGTGTGTCACCACAATCAATTTGAAAAGACTGAACTACACCTCTTTAAAGTGGATGGATTTTTGCAGTCCGCGCACATGTTAAGCAGTGGCTGTTGTGTCAACCTGGACGCCACCCCCTGGCCGTGAAAATCGGATCATCGGCAGAATATTGCGGCGAAAGCGCAGCGTCTTGCAAAGCTCGGCCCCCCCCCCCCCCCGCACAGGCTTCAGGCCACTCCACTCAGGGGCGAATAGTGAGCATCTAAAATGGCTTGATCCACGGCTGGGTGGATGACCCAGCCGTGGACCCAAATGACCCTCCACGGCTGGGTGAATCAGAAGGTGGGACTGTTATCAGCACAATGATCATTATGAGCTGGATTGAGTTTGCATATGTCGGACCACCTCGGCGGTGTTTGGCCTTCACCTGTGCCTGTGCTGCAGGTTCGGTGATGTCCCTTGGCGCCGGCCTGCTGTTTGGCGGCACCCTGGGTTACGGTGCGCACCAGGTGTCGCAGGACCCCCAAAAATACCACCTCTCGCTGGCCACCAGCTCTGTGCTCACCACGATGATGGGCTACCGTTTCTTGAGCGGCGGCAAGTTCATGCCCGCAGGCCTCATCGCCGGCATCAGGTCAGTGGTGGGGAGCTCCAGGGGACGGGCCGGCGCCGCCTGTATGTAGAGGCGGCCGCCATGCCATTCGCGTCAGGGCGAGAGCGGAGGCAATGCCAACTTGCGTGCGATGCTCCTGAAACTGACAAATGGGGAGTAGGTACGGTGGTGGACGCACTTTCAGACCTCCCGGTTGCCATCATGTAAGGCGCACAGTCGAGTATCGGCGGATAGGAGCTGTAGTTATGCACCCGGTAACAGAAAGTTTGCGATAAAACAGCAGTAATAACCTCATCCCTCAGAGAAAAACCAGGAGAATGGAGGTATAGTTAGGTTGATCTTTCGACAACATGCCGTTATTGAAACAATAGCAGAAGCTTTTGTTATTGTTTCGTTGGAGACATGTTGCCGAAGTATCAACCTAACTGCATCTCCATTCCCCTGGTTTTTCTTCGAACTTAAGAAAGCTTGCGACGATCACAACAGATGACCAGCACTGTTATCAGCCTTCACAACTCCCAGATTGGGCCGCCAATCCCCAACCCGACCAACGCGTGGGACAACACACGGCGTAGCACAATGAGGCGCATATGCCGGCGGCTAGACCGAACGGCGCAGCCCTGATCAGTACCAGCTGCGACGTCCGTGACTGCCGGCTGGTGGCGCCACTGTCGACGGAGGTCCGCGCTGCTGCGCCGTCCCCTGGCCCTCTGTCCTCCGCTCCTGTGACTCCCGTCCAGCTGTGTGTCAGAGTTACAGCAGCTGGGAACGTTCACAGCCTTGTATTGGCTGCGTGCTGTTGTCCTCGGGTGGTATTTAACGACCTCACTCTGTGTCTGCCAGTGTGCTGTTTGTGGCCCGCTATGGAGTCCGCGCTCTCACCGGCACCAAGCAGTAGAGCGGGGATCAGCTGACGCCGACCTCCACCGGACATGGTGGGCTCTTCCAGGCCCTCTGCGGCGTGGCTTGGCCCGCTCGTCCGGCGCGGCCCACCGGCCGTTCGTGGCCGCGAGGCCTCGCCGAAGGCTATTTGGATGTGGATGCTCTCTGACTGGAGTCGTGGATGGGTTTCTTTATCTTGCAGTGCAGGTGCCCTTGTTGAGTGATATTTGGAACAATTTTTTTTTGCGAGGCTGAGCCTTCTTTCCAAGTGGCTTACTCCCCTGCGACGTTGAGTCTAGTTTTCCGTGAACTGAGACCAAGCTTTCGACCAGTGCTCTTGTTTGGGGCCTTCCTCTTCGGTGAATGAGGACGAATCTAGCTCGGAAATGTACAGGGCACGTTGTTTGCATTTGTACACCGTACTTCATTAAGCCATTTACCGCAATGAGGAGATCGAAATATTGTCTCAAACGCGGCTGCATAAGGTTATTGTTTGGTGCAGGTTTATGGGCATTGGGTAGTCATGTGTCTTTAAGGTTTCTAGGTTTGAAAGCCTCTGGTCACACACGTTTATCTGTAATTCGCGAGGTGATGGAGGTTTACTGGTGGAAAAAGATGGGCTGAAGCTTCCATTGTAGAGTGATCCCATTCTAGAATGGTATGCTTCTAGAACGCACGGCAGTGACAGCGGCCGTCTAATCCTCCGTGGTGTTGGTTGCGCTGGAGCTTCCGTTGTTGTTAGCTATGGAATGGCATGCCTTTGTGACTTGCTGTGTCGACTGTGGTTAGCTGACCTTTCCTGCAGCCAGGACGAGTCGGTTGTTTCGGCGTCGAGTCACATCCTCTGTAGTGTGCATGCATTTGCAGACCAAACTTGTGCTGGACGATGGACCGCCACTGAAACGGCTGTGGAATCAATCAATACAGTGGTGTGTCTGCCAGAGCCATCTTTGTCGTATTTCTCTGTGGTACTGGGCGAGTCAGAGCCGTGCCCGAGCAGTGGGCGTCAAAAGTGCGATCCAGGAAACGCCTCTTGTGCGTCACGTGGATGGTGCTATTTTGGCCATTCCCTGTCAACATGCTTCCGTCGGGAGGAAAGCCGACTGCCCCCTGCGTGAAATTCACGATACCACCGCGTGTGAGCTTGTGGTATGACGAACAGCAGCAAGCTGACAACTTTTCTCCGTCAAACCAGTGTGCTCCCCATCACAGAATGTGATGTAAGACCAGCCCGCTCGCGCCGCCGTCGTGCCTGCGTGGGCTGGGGGGCCTCCGTGCGAGCTGGTTCCCATCAGGAGGCGGCGGGAGGCACCGCGCCCGGCCGTCGGCGGCCGACACCGGCGGCTCTGGTGTCGGAAGTCCAGACCTCCGGTGTATTGTCGGGCCCCGCACCAGACCCTGCGGGGCCGCACACCAGACCCTGCAGCGCCTCACACCATACCCTGCAGCGTCTCACACCAGGCCCTGAGGGGCTTCACACCAGGCCCTGCGGCGCCTCGCCCAGACCCAGCGGGGCCTCGCACCAGGCCTCGGAGACAGATATGTGGCAGTCAGCACTGCATCGCTCGGCCTCGAGCCGACATCCCGTCGGGCGCGAACGTCTCTAGCGGTGACGACGCACACTACACACACGTGGCAGCGACACGGAAGCGGGCGACGCGGGGCGATGGTACACCGCGGCATAGCTGGCGCCACCGACGCGTCTCGTGCGCCAGAATCCCGCTGACTACGGCCAGCGGGACTCCCGGGAACCGAGCACCGCCGGCGGACGGGGTCCACGAGGGCGCGAGTGCCGCTGCACTCAAGCGAGCTGATATGTCTGGCAACGTTGAACAACGCGGCGTTTCGGGGGTAATTCGGCGTTTTATCGTTTTGGAGGGTTTTACATCCGTCCGGTGCCACTGCGTTATGGCGAACATGGGGGAGGGAGGCAAAGCCCAAAGAAACATTTGGAAAAACGCTGATAAATAGCGTCACATTGATATCGAAACATCAATGTCAGTGGAAACCCGCATGCTTCCTGGAAGCGCAGCTCCAATGTGTGCTGTAGAACCATTCAAATACGCCTTTAGATCATTAGTCCGGTCCTGGCTGGGGTGGCTCTCCGCCTTTCCAGTCAGTCCCACACACATCCGCGCGCAGCGGGAACACGTCCTGCTTTTGAGGCGAGTACACATCCGCCGATCACTGATCGCAAAACACGATCTTCACTGTCGTTCCGCCGCCTTGTGGTCATGGTCTCCCATGCTCTGAGCCTCTGCCTGTCCTCGGTGGCGGCGCTCGGCGCGCGGCAGAACGCCAGCTGGTGACGGACGCCGCCGCGCCGCAGTCGTCAGCGGCGTCAGCCTCACACGTGACTCAGTGGCAGCGAGTTGTGCGACGGCGCCGGGTTGGCGTCGCTCAGCGTGTGCGACGTCGTGTGCGAGAACGCCGCGTTGTGCGGCAGCAGCGGCTCCTGGCCGGCGATGCTCGGCGCCGCTGCCGACTCGGCGCCGGCGAGGCCCGGCGGCGGCGGCGGCAGCGGCGCCGGCGCCGGCTGCCGCTCCTCGGCCCGCCGCGGCGGGCCCGCCCGGCGGCAGCCGAGCACCGCGCACCACGCGCGCAGCGTCTTGCGCGAGCAGACCCAGATGATGGACGTCACGCCGACGGCCAGGGACATGAAGTATCGCAGCAGGAAGATGTTAAAGTTGGGCACGCCGCCGCTGCCGCCGCCGCACGGACAGACGAGCGCCCTCTCCCAGGCGGGCCGCAGATGCTGCTCGTACACGAGGCAAGCGACGACAACCGACGCCGGCACCGTGTACAGGACCGAGAACACGCCGATGCGGAACATTAGCTTCTCCAGCTTGTCCTTGTTGCCGCGGTCCTGCTTGATGGCGCTGCGGATGCGGAAGAGCGCGACGAAGCCGGCCAGCAAGAAGGAGGTGCCGAGCAGCAGGTAGGCCACCAGCGGCGCCAGCACGAGCCCGCGGAGGTTGCCCAGGCTCTGGCCGCCCACGTAGCAGACCCCGGTCAGAGCGTCACCGTCCACCGCCTCCAGCGCTAGCGCAACGATCGCCTTCCCCGCCGGGATGACCCAGGCCGCCAGGTGGAAGTAGGGCGAGTAGCCGGCGATCACCTCGTTGCCCCACTTGAGGCCGGCCGCCAGGAACCAGGTGAGCGAGAGGATCACCCACCAGACGGCGCTGGCCATGCCGAAAAAGTAAACAAGCAGGAAGACGACGGTGCAGAGGGCGGCGCCGGCCGGCACTCCGGTCGCGTCGTACCGGATGGCGCCACCGTCGCAGGCGGTGAGCTCGTGACCGGCACCAAGTCGCACCAGGTAGCCGGCTGACACCAGCAGGTAGCAGCCGGCCAGAAACACGATGGGCCGCTCCGGGTACTGGAAGCGGCTCTGGTCGATCAGGAACGTGGCCACCGTCAGCGAGCTGCTGACGGCGCACAGCACCGCCCAGCTCAGCACCCAGCGCTCGGCGAAGCTGTGCTGCGCGGCGCTGAAGTAGGGGGCGCGGCAGGGCAGCGCGCACTCGGCCACGCCGCCCAGCACCACAGACCGGTTGAAAAGCCGGTGGCCGGGCCGCAGCGGCACGGCGCGCGGCGCGGCGCACTCGCACGCGCAGGGCCGCGGCGGGCGCGGCGGCGGCGGCAGCGGCGGCGGCGGCGGCGGCGCCTCGCCGTTCTTGTTGTCCATGCAGAGTCGCTCCGGGTCGCCGTAGTTGGGCAGTAGGGAGCAGTTGAGCCGCTCGGGCCAGGTGAAGTGGTAGTCGGCCATGAGCGGCTCGCAGCCGGCGCGCGCCCGCTCGCACACCGAGCGACACACGGGCAGCGAGCGCTGGTACTGCTGCAGGCAGATGGGCACGTACGTGGCGCACAGGAAGAACTGCAGGTCAGCCGAGCACCGCACCTCGACCAGCGGCCAGTACTGGTGCACCTCGAGCCCCGCCTCCTCCTGCGTGTCGTGGTGGAACTGATTCGGCATCAGCGTCATGTTGTAGCCGATGCTGCGACACATCGGGATGCTGATCTCCTGGCACTGGAACGTCGGCTCCTGAGCAAGCAGCGCGGCCGGCAGGAGCAGTAGCAGGAGCCAGTGTAGCAGCGTCGACATCGCTGGAAGGACGGTGGCGTCGCACCCACACGGCGTGGTGGTAATGAAGCAGCGGGCGGCGTTAAACTGATCGTGGCGGCTTCAAACCTGGAACGGAGCCAAAGAGGATTAGCTCTGAAGCTCACTGCAGCTCGTAGGCGCCACAGCCGTCGAACATAATATGCTTCCTGGAGGTTTATATAAATTGTGTTCGCCCCACCCCATGGGAGCACACATATACCTTCGCAACTATGCGTTCGGGTCATCATGAACGCACCCATGCTCTCATGCCAAATTATGCCGCTCCTTGCTGAAACCTTTCCAATGTCTCAGCCCAGGACGTGTTGTAGCCCTCTGTGGGTCAGCGTCTCTGCCATAGTCTAGCATCAGCTGGCTGTTAACAATACTTTTTGTCTCCTTCGGGATTAATGCCCCTACCTATTCCGGAGTCACACTTTTATCCTCTTTCCCCAACGCGGATCTGCACTCTGTCCACGCGAGTCCGCACCCTGTCCTCCCGGGTCTGCACCGTCTTCGTCCTGGGCCTGCAACCCTCCCCGCCCCGGTCTGTAGTCAGCACCCCTCCCCGCTACCGGCGCCGCGTGGCGACGCCGTCAGCGCCCCCGGCCGTCACCCTCCGGGGCCGTCTGGACGCCGGCGCCGCCCAGACCGATCGAACCTCATCAGCACACGCCGTCTCCTCGCAGACGAAGGGTGGAGGCCGCTCCTCTTGGTCCGATAGGACGCAGGGTATGGTGTTCTCCAACACACCAACGGGGCTGGAAACCATATCCGGTGATTGGTTTGCGCCCGTCCCTCGTTGGACGCTGGCTAGAGGCGTCGCCAGAGGCGGACGCAGGAAGCGATGACCCTACGTGAGGCTCGTGATCCAACGATTTGGTCACCCAAAATATCGCTTCCCATCCCCTTCCCCCACCCACCCCTCTCCGAGCTTCAACAGGAACCTCAGGTAACCGGCTGTCCCCGTGCGCCAAATTCGTACGACGCCCTTGGTACCGCTACAGCGCCTATGGGGCACCAAACGGGTCTACGGCGCACCGGTAGCCGTGCGCGGCTTTGGATGGATATACGAATTAGAAACATAAGAATCTGGTATATTAACAGTGCTACCGTCATAAAGTGGTGCTGTAGCTTTGTACCAGTTTAGTCGCATGCGTACCGGCCCCTAACAGCGGTGCAAGCACGCATTGAATGTCGGTGAGGTCGAGCCTACCTTGATTTTGTTTGAGATGACGTCACCTGGGGCGTCACTTTTTGATTGGTTGTGGGAAGCTCAGCCGATAAGGTTGGCCTAACCCACCCCAAAACCTGATTTGTTCCCGGATTTGGCCCACCTAATTTGCCTTCCGAATGACAACGCCTAATTTTGTCAAAAAGGTTGATGAAAGACTGCTTGATGGAAGAATGACTATACGTTTGAAGCCCATGCGAGACTGCGGTTCTGTGAGGAGCTTAGAACTAGGTTCAGTTCACGGAAAACATATTGTGAGACGGTCCAACATGATCACCGGGAACCAATTTCGTTAATATGCATGGAGCGTGGTGTGAGGCACGAAAGACAGTTTTATGCAGAATGAGTAGCCTGACGCGTGAAGACTAGAGAACAGTGTTCACATGGCACATTTCCGGTGTGGAGACTACGGAAAATGTGTCAGTGTGCGCTGTGCACAAAATGTGTCTGATCGTCAGTCGTGTGAGCGTAGAGAGGCTAAGACATCTCTTTCTTTCCGTGAAAGTGAACAACCGGAACGCCGAGTGAGGTCCGCAACTTGTGCAGCACGTTCTCGAGTTAAAACGGGGCACACGCATGTACTAGCCCACAATGGAAAAATTATGCACGTGCCACGTTAACAATGCATTGGGTTTGCGGTGAAAACAGCTGTGCAAACAGATAATGCCCTCACACCATCCAGTAGCTTGCACGCACTTGATTGCTTGGACTGGCGGAGTTCGTCTTAAGTACATGCCAGTTCGATGGCGTTCGATCAGCCCTCGGGACACCTTGGAAATACACGCGGAGAGCACACGCGCCACCAACATGTTTTCTGTGAACGCATGGTAACCTAAAATGCGGTAATGGAGTACTGTGGTGCAGAATCCCAACTTTTAAAGCATAATTTTTAACGACAGCAAAAGACCACGCGGATCTCGGATCTCAGGATACATGAATTGTTGCACAAACGTAATCTTCTCGCGATGCTTAACATACCAAAGTCGAGTTGGGACTTCGGCTCTCCTTCGCATGCTTACCATTGAGTAGCTTCACGTGCTTTTTGAGCAACGTCGTTTAGTTATATAGTTAAGAAAGAGCTCTCTTCTCGCTGCGGTGCGCACAACACTCGCCGGTTAGTTTCCTTCCATGGATTTATCTGGCACGGACAATCGAAACTTTTTGGTTTAGCCACATCTGTGCCGCGCATTGCCTAATTTAAATAATAATAATTGACAAATTTTGGTTCGGCCACAGTGTCGCGTATTGGGGGACGGGACTCGAGAGCTTGAATGGCTGGAATGCTCGTAATGATCGTTACAACGTTCTTGAAGTGTGACGTCCGTGCTAAGAAAGTGTCCAACCTTATAAAACCCTTAAACCCTTAAACCAGCCACCTTATACTGAAAAGCTGACGCATATTGCAGTTGTATTTGTTCCAATTCACGTGTAATCTCGTGAAAAACCGGCCAATATTTTCAGACTAGCCCAACATGAAAGAAGTTGGAATGACAACATATAACTGATATATAGACACATGCAGGTACCTTTGCATGCATATGAACTTGTAATGTAACGGTACGTACACATAAGTGCCTACAGGATACTGTGTGGTATAAATTGAAGATAACACTAACAGAGTGTCTCAGTTGACAACTGTACCGGCATGCCAGATAAATTTTCTGCATTTCCTTGGTCCGGTGTCCTTTTTTACTCATACTCGTTGGGGGAGTGGCTTGGAGCGGGGGGGGGGGAGGCGACAGTGTAGTGGTTAACGCGTCTACGTTAATGGCCCCTCCCCGGGCGTTGCTGGAGACCGGAGCTCCCTAGCCCTGTAACTGTCGTGCCGACGGTTCAATTCCGACCTGGCAGTGTTTGCCTGTTACCACCACGGGTGTTGGCTGACCATGCATCTAATTAGGACATGCTAAAATGTCCTGGCGTCGGCGAAGCCCAGGCATTGTCGACCCAGACACCGATCGAGCATAGCCAGCGCTGAACCAGCACCAGCTGTTGTTGCCGTCCTGTCGAACCGTTTCATGACCTGCGTTTACGTAGCTGACGGTTTGCTCGACGAGTGGCGCCCTCACAGCTCGATGTACACCTTTCCGGCCTTTTAAGGCTACGAGCTTGCCCATACTCCGTCCCCGCCATCAAGGAACGCGCCCGCCGACTCGCCCCCGGGGAACGCTTCCACTGCGGCACGTGGTGGCGAGCTCGTCCGATCTCACTGGCGCTGCTGGGGCAGCGGACTGTGTCCCGCGGCCAGCGCGGCCCCGTCCACGGCCCCGCCACGGCCCGGCGCGGCCGGCGGCGGCGCGTTCGTGACTCGTCTGTGTCGCAGCGTCACGCCGACCTGTCGCGGCGTCGTGACGGGCGGCGTCACGCGAGTCTACGGCTGCCAGGCGCGCGACGGGGGCGGGGCGAGCCGCCCGCGGCTGCGCACGCGTCCAGTTCCGGCACGTTCCACATGAAGCTGCCGCAGGCCGGGTCAGAACCGAGCCGCGAAGCCTGCCCGGCGGAGCGGGCGGCGGATTTACGGCTGATTAGGGAAGGCAGGGCTCACTTCACAGCTGGGAGAAGACCGGCGACAGTTTTCAGTCCCCCTCAAGGAAATGGGTGCGGCAGGTCGATCGAATCGACTGCAGGAGCCCGGGAAGTTGCGAAAGGGGTAGATCTTCACCCCACTCCCATCATGCACGCGATGGATTGCCTTACCTCCATGCCAACAGAGGTTCACATCTCTGATTCCTCAAGTTACCCCGGTCGTTTACATAACCTCCGGTAGCTCCCCCACCCCAGGTCCCACGGACGTTTTGATGTCTTCGTGCAAGTTGGGCCCGTGGTGCACCATCTCTTGACATAAGACCACTTCCGTGTTCCGCTCAATGCGAACTCCCCTCCCCCCCCCCCCCCCACCCCCCGACTCCACAATGCGAATTTCTCTCAAGTCCTGTTTTTGTATGACTTCTGGAACTATCCCTAACCCTGCCCGCCCGTCTCTATGACGCTCTTAGCCCCGAATGACCCCTTTGTGACCATTTCCCCCCCCCCCCCCGGAGCGCAACACCGCCCGATCGATGGACAGACATGGTAGCACGGAGTGGGATGTGCGGAGGGCAACCGTTGTCATGGCAACGGACGTGGCTCAGCCGCCGTCGACCAATCAATAGACTCCGACTGTGAAGCTCCCTGCGTCTGGTCCCCTGTGGAAGACCCCTACACTCACGGCGGCGCGCCCGCGACAAATGCGCTCCTGGAGGACGAGTGGCGGGCTGGAGACCTGTGGCGCGTCTCCTAACTCGTACAAATCGAAGAACTACGGGGCGCACAGACTGCAGTCCGTCTTGTGTTTCTACCGCCGGGTCTAATTAGCGACCAATGGCAGGCAATCGGGCAGAAGGTGGCACGTGCTCTTAGGCACAGGATCTGTTATCGGGAACATGCCGTCCCCCGCGCCTTTCCATAACGGTCGTGTTTGGACACTGGTAATTTAGGGATTGTTGCGATTTCAGCGTACAGGAGGCCAGGGGGTGGCGGCTGACAGGGTGGCAGGACGTCAAAACAGCCGAAAATAATTGCTGCCACGAAAAGTCGGGTGGCAACGCCGATTGCTCCACCGAGTTGGACGAGTAAAAAATGTCAGGCTTTGACGCCGCTAGGGACCATTGCCACCGCTTCCTCCCGCCTCCCGCGTCATCGCGGTCAACTGGCCTGAACAGGAAACAAAAACTCTGGAATGGCGTAAGCACTTCCAGCACTTGAAGCTGCTGAAAAGCACTTCAAATTGCCGTTGAAATTGCCATGGCACTTGGAATTGCTGAGCTCCGGTGAACCAAAGTGGCGTCTTTGTAACAGCCATGTAAGCGC